GGGCAGTTTTCCTTGATAATTTCTTGAAAGACAGTGTCTAGGCTCCTTTTTGGGTCATGGCTTTCAGATAGTCCAATAATTTTTAAATTCTCTCTCCTGGATCTGTTTTCCAGGTCAGTTGTTTTTCCAATGAGATATTTCACATTCTCTTCTAATTTTTCATTCTTTTGGATTAGTGTTGCAGTGCCTTTATTTCTCAAATTGTCACTAGCTTCCAATTGCTCCATTCTAATTTTTAAGGAAGTATTTTCTTCAGTAAGCTTTTGGACTTCCTTTTCCATTTGGCCAGTTTTGCTTTTTATGGCATTCTTCTCCTCATTGGCTTTTTGGACCTGTTTTGCCATTTGCGTTAGGCTATTTATTAAGGTGTTATTTTCTTCAGTATTTTTTTAGGTCTCCTTTAACATCACTCTTACTCTTTCCTCTACTTCTCTTACTTGCTTCTCAAAATCCTTTTTGAGCTCTTCCATGGCCTGGAACCAATTCATATTTTTCTTGGAGGCTTTGGAAGTAGGAACTTTGGCTTAGTTGTCTTCTTCTGGTTGTACATTTTTGATCTTCTTTGTCACCAAAGTAAGATAATATAGTCTGACTCTTTTTGCACTGCTTGCTCATGATCCTGGTCAATTACCTGAGTCATAAACTCTTTGTTAAGGTAGGAGTCTGTTTCCAGTGTAGAGAATGTACTGTCCCAAGATTCAGGGGTTTTGTGCAGCTGTTTTCAGAGATACTTCTAGGGACCTGTAAATTTTCAGTTCTTCCAAGGTGCTATGAGCGAGGTGTTTACTCCTTTCATGGCCTGTGCTCTTGTCTATGAGTGACCACAAGCAGTCTTTTCTGTCTTAGAACTGTGAGGGTTTACTCTTCACAGCCACTACAAGCTCCACTACACCAGTGCTCCTCCTAGCCCCAGGATCACCACCCAGAGCAGTGACCCAGATCCAAGCACTGGCAAAGCAAGAGAATCCTGCACCAGCAGAGAGATCCCTGCAATCCCCCTCTGATCAGCCACCTGATTCCCCCTCAGTCTGTGGCCCAGAAGCTCAGGAGGCAGCTGTCACCCCGGAAGCCATGTTCTCAGCAACTGGAGCTAAGACCCCATGCTCCTCTCTCACCACTGCAGAAACAAACTTTTCTCACTCACCTTCTAGGTTGTCTTTGACATTTGTGGGTTGAGAAGTCTGGAAACCACCACATCTGCCTGTGATTCAGTTCTCTGAGCCCTGCTCCAGGTTCCCTGTGGCCTGTGTGCCCATGCTGCACTGTGCTCTGCTTCCAGCCAGACGCGATATACCTTTCTGATCAACCATCTATGTTGTCTTGGGCTGGAAATTTGCTTCACTCTATCTTTTTGTGGGTTCTGCTGCTTTAGAATTGTTTAGAGCCATTTTTTATAGGCATTTGGAGGAGTCTGAGGGAGAGCTCAAGCAAGTCACTGCTTTTACTCTGCCATCTTGGCTTCACCCCCACCCCCACCCCGATCCCCGTTCACATTGGCAGACTAGGTCCTCATAGGGTGGTTCCTACATCTTTCCTCATGGTTCTTGAGGAAGCCCTGAGGCATCCATTGATATCAGTTAGATTTAATTAGCTTATAGAAATAGATATTTACTATGGTAATGTAATTGCTTAAAAACATCTTCCTCCACAAAAAAAAAGTCCGTGACACATTTTTTCATCAATACCTAAAGAATTTACAAGAAAGTGTTCCATAGTAAAATTGCATCAGGGGAAACTTTACCACAGAAATTCAGTATACTAAGTAATAACAATTTGAACTAATTCTATCTGATTTATATTCCACTCCCCAACTGATAAATAGTCAAAGGATATGAACAGGCAGTTTTCCAATGAAGGAATCGAATCAACTTATAGTCATATGAAAAAATGTTCTAAATCATTATTATTTAGAGAAATGCAAATTAAAACAACCTTGAAATATCATTTTACACCTATCAGATTGGCTAAAATGAGAGAAGAGGAAAGCAAAAAAATGTTAGCAAGTATATGGAAAAATTAGAACCTTAATTCATTTTGGTGAATCTGTGAGGTGATCCAACCATTTTGGAGAAAGATTTGGAATTATGCCCAAAGAGTTATTAAACTGCCTATACCTTTTGACCCAGCAAAACCACTATTAGGTCTATTTCCCAAGAGGATTAGGGAAAATGGAAAAGATACTACATGTTCTAAAATATTTATAGCATCTCTCTTTGTAGTGGGAAAGAACTGGAAATTGTGGAAATGCCCATCAATTATCGAATGGCTAAACAAATTGTGGTATATGTTCATGATGGAATATTACTCTTCTATAAGAAATGATGAGCTCAATGACTTTAGAAAAGCATAGAGAAACCTCTATGAAACAATGAAGAGCAAAATGAGCAGAACCAAGAGAACATTCTATAGTAACAGCAGTATTGTTTTAAGAATAACTTTGAGCAATCAACTCATTCTATTATAAATGCCCAAATTAATCTCAAAGATTCTATGAAGGAAAATGTGTGAATCCAAAAAGGAACGGTGTAGGGAATGATGAGTGGGTTGATTTAGAAAAACATGGAAAGACTTGGACATATGAATGAAGATGCTATCTACCTCAGGAGAAACAGATGATAGGAGGAAATAAGTTAAATCTGGTCTTACATATATTTGTATGAGTATATATGTATATTTATACATGTGTATGTGTGTATGTTTATAGATATCTATTTATGGGTATATATACACACATATGCATATATTTAGATTGAGGAGGGAGAGAAGGGAAAAATAAAGTAAAAAGTACACAGCAGAGAACAAATGAAAACCAGCAAGGAAGCAAAGATAGGCAACTTTAAAAACAGTGTTTAGCAGTTATTATATATGTTTTCTTGAAATGGAAATTTATTGTTTTATACTGAATCCTCTCATGTTCTGCTATGTACATGGCAATTTTTTTTGTTTTCTTACTTTGTATTTAAGTTTAAAATAAACAACTACAAAAAAGAAAAAACAAACAAAAATGAAGTTTTAATAGTTTTGTAATACAAGCTTGTTATTTATGCTTCCTGTAAGTGAAATCAGGATTGTTTTAAAAACTTCAGGTTCAGTATTTTTGAACACAGAACAAAAAAAACCCATTTATCTAGAATGTAACAACCAAGTTGAGTAAAGACTATAACTGTTAAACAATTCCAACTTTTCTCAACGTAGTTACTTTGTAGGCATGTACTTAAGCAGTAAGTGAATTTAGATTAAAGCAGTTTCAATTATGTTAAATGTTGCTCTTATACCACATTATGTGGAACACTGTTTGAGACGTATGTTGGGAGACATGCTTTTTTGCAAAACAAATATAGGAACTGTATCTTCAATTGAAAAGTGAAACATTTGGCCTGTTCTATTTTATTTCACTTACTATCCTCTAAGGTACGTATGTTTAAGGTTTTTTTTTTTTAAGTTAATGGGGACAATTTTGAAACAAAATACTTGAGGATTTGGTCTTGGTGTTTGTTTCGAGTTCTGAAGCCTTAATTTAAATCATTCATTGTATTGTGATTTCCTTTTAGGTGTATTGCACTAAGGGAAACTTGTTAAATAAATCTTCCTTTCAAAAAAATCATATTCCAAATAATCATGCCTACCTCCTTGACTTTATGTGTATGGGAGTTCTTACTCTGATTCATAAATTTAGTCTGTATAGTAAAGCTGGGAAATGGAATTTTTTCTTTCTTTTCTTTTTTGTTTGTTTATAATTTCCATAATATTTTAATTTTCCATCATAGCTATATTTTCCTTAATTTCCAAGGCTTTTCCTTACTTGCTGAATTTTGTGGGTTAATTTATTACTTTATTTTTTATTTCAAAAATATTGTTGATATAGTCTCCTCTTCCCCTACATAAAAGTTATCACTTGTAAGAGAGAATACAAAGAAAAGATCCAACATATAAGGTCCAACAAAGTATATTATCCTTCCACTCATCCTACCCTCCCTCCCTCTCTGCAAAGGAGGGAGAGATGCATTCTCTTCTTTGTGACCAAAATAAATCATTATAATTACAGAAGATTGAGTTTCAATTTTTGTTGTTATTTTTTACACTTGCAATGTTATAATTATTGTGTGTGTATACACACACACACACACACACACACACACACACACACACAATTTTCTGGTTCCACCTACTTCACTTTGCATCTGTTTATATAAGGCTGTCCATACTTACCTAGTAGTCTTTATATCCATTATTACTACCTGAACCATAATATTCAATTATATATTCCTTTCCACAATTTGTTTAGATAGTTTCCCTACCCCGCCACTCCCAAATACCACTATAAATATTTTAATATATTTTGGACCTTTCTTTTTAATTTTGACCTCTTTTGGAAATATGCCTGGTAGTGGGATCTCTGAGTAAAAAGAATATGGAAATTTTAGTTATTTTCTTACCGTACTTTGAAATTGCTTTTGAAAATGATTAGACACAGCTCTATCAATAACATATTAGGGTATTTGTCTTTCCATAGTCTAACACTGAGAATTCCCATCTTTTTTATGACAGTTTTGGGGGTGTGAAGTGATTTTCATTTATATTTCACTTATTAGTGTTTTGGCACATTCTTTCATGTAATTGTTACTAGTTTTCATTTTTTTTCTCTTGAGAGCTATTTGTCTTTATCTTTTGACCACCTATCTAGTAGGAATACTTTTGGTCTGATATATTTGTGTTAATTATATGTGTCTTTGAAGTCAAACAGTTATCAAATAATTGATAGCAAATATTTTTCTTAATAAATTGCTTCCTTTTTATTATAGTTCCATTCATTTTGTATGTACAAAACATTTTCAATATTGTATAACTGAAATTTTCTACTTTATCTTTTCTAATCCTCTCTGTCCCTTGTTTGGTTAAGAATCTTGAAGATCAGATGAATAATTAATTTAGAAAAAAGTTAATATATCTTAGAAATATTGTATAATATTTAATTTATGCTAGTCCTTTTGTCATTTCAGCTCATGGGACATTCTGAATGGGACCACAAACGAGTGTACAGAGGGTCACAGGTCAGTCATTGATTTTTCTTTCTTTCCTTATATTTTCCTAACAATATAGATCTAGGTGATGAGTTTTTCTAATGCTCAAAGAGATTAACTTTTTTTTTCAAGTATAGTTGAAGGGAAAGAAATAGGAAACATCATAGTACCCAGTGATAGATTGAAATATATTATTAGTAAGAATGTTGTGGTGATCATATGGATATGACTACGTTTCACACTCATACAGTGACAGTTAGAACTTGTGGGACTATGCTTAGGTTGATAATCTCCAATCTTCTCTCCCTTAAAAAAAAATGCATTCTATTGATGTCTGTTTAAATGTATAACACAATCATTTCAAGGCTTGTAATCTTCTTTATTGAATTCTTCCCTGTGACAATTAAGCAAATACATTTGAAACAGTGCACATTTTAAAGTGTGTATTATATTTTGTTTCAGTAGTCCTTTGTTTCTCTGTCATGGACAAGGAATTCTATGAGTTTTTCAATCACTTCAATTTTGACTTCTTTTTAGTTCTTTTCTCCATTTACATTTTTTGCCATCATGAGCATTATGCTGGTTCTGTTTTTTTCCTTATGCTCTGCATCAATTCATACAATTTTTCTCATCTTCTTCTGAATTCTTTATTCCATTGCACTTATATGTTATAGGTTTTTAGCTTCCCTCTAATGAACAGGTAACCACTTCTTTGCAGTTTTTTGCTACCCCCAAAGCATGCTCTACTATGGAGATTCTGGAATATACTTATTGTTTCTTTGTTTTTGTCTTTGCCTTCCTGGGCCCATATGAGCAGTAGTAGAAACCCACTTTCTCTATTAATATTATCAATTGTTGGCAGTTTATCAAACTATATTTGTTATTTTTGTTGTTTTAGGTTAAATATATTAAAAGACAAATGCATAACTACCTGAAATAATCAGTCTGTCCTAAAGCCATAGTTAGTTGTTAATAAAACAGAGAGATGAAAAGGGCCCTATTATCATTATAAAAAGAAACCTTCCTACCTTACTAGGTTATTTTCATTGTTTTGTTTTATATCCTAACCAGGAGAAAAAAAAGCAAAATTTGTGGCATATTTTTGCTTTTTAAAGACCTGATTCAAAAATTTTTATGAAGGTTTTATTTTAGTTTTATGAGTATTTGACATAAGATAATTAGGGTTCTATTTTAAGTTAAGAAAAGGGAAAATTCCTCTTTTTAAAAATTTTGTTGGTGATATTTATTTCCAAAATGATAGAATAACTAAAATTTTGCCAGGAAAGGCAGCCCAGAAGGGATGGGAAACTCTCAAAAATCAGAAGAATGAAACATACACACACACACACACTCACACACACACACACACAGAGAGAGAGAGAGAGAGAGAGAGAGAGAGAGAGAGAGAGAGAGAGAGAGAGAGAGAGAGAGAGAGAACACATAACTAAAGATAACAAAAAGTATCCTTTTGTTTTTTATTTTGATATTCAGGTTATGCTGAACTGTTAAACTTTTCAATGTGAGCATTTGCACCTTCGAAATTGTCAAATGCTACGAATCAGGGATTGATTTATTGATTTGTTGATTGTCTAGCTGTAAGAAAGTAATAATGTTAATAATGCAGATTAAATTTAAAAGTGTCACACATATATTTTTCCCCAGGGGGTCTGTTATTAAAATATTTACCAGCCTACTTCTGGCTATATTGGAGATGAATGAAAACTTCCAGAAGGGATAAGAAAGCTACTCAGGCTTAGGATGAAGAAAACTCATGATATAAGGCATAGATGCTGAGCTCTTATTCTTTCCTTTTCTCTGTCAAGGAAAATTATTTTTGTATTACAATGGAAGAACCAACAAAAATGACTAATAGGGTGACTTGTTACCCAAGATGAACACGAAAGCATTAGCTACCCCACAAACATTTGAGTTACCTGGCCCAGATGAACTACATTTTCTGTTACTGAAAGAGCTAGAAGATAAGAATTGTGAATTATTATCAGTAAACTTTATAAATTTGTGTAAAATTGAAAAGGTCTCAAAGATCGGAGAAAGGAAAATGTGGCCCTGATTTTGGGGAAAAAAAATCAGGGAGAGAATGATATATGCAAACTAAAGTCTAATGAATTTAACTTTGATTCTTAGGAAAAAAAAATAGATAATGTACCATTACCAAGATAGTTAATGAATATCTAGAAAAGTTAATTGTGATCATAATGAGGTAGCATGTGTAGTCAGTTCAACTGTATTTTATTTAGAAAACACAAATTTGTTCAAATGCAATTTATATATTAGAGAACAATTTTAGCATAACTTGAATTTTGTGTTTGCTTATGTATGAGTGTATCTTCAAGAATCTTTGAGAATGCAGAAAACTGAACCATTTCATAATAACTTGTAAGAGCAAACCATTGTAAAGTCCATTTCCACAAGCTATTTCAGGTCTTTTTCAAAGTAAAGTGCCATATTTTTTGTTTATCTTCTGGCATGGTAGGAGCTGGAGTCAGAGGAGGGATGGACTTCACCTGTGCACTCCACCCCCACACCCACCTTCTGCCATGGCCATTCCTCCTACATGCCCTACTAAGGCTGCCTTCATTGACTTTGCTAGCCTGGTCCATGGAAAGGAACCATCATACAGGGTGAACAGGAGTCCAAGGTTATAGTACCAGCACTGTTTATTGTAGTATTTATGTATTTCTTAACAATTTAACATGTATAAAACTCTGCTACCATTTTTATTAGGTGTGTGGTTTTTGTGTGTGTCATTTTTATGTGTGTGATTGACAAGTTCGTTAGTATTGCTCTCTTAATCCCACTTTCCCCATAAGCCCTGTGGTTTTTGTTGCACCATTTTGCACAGCAGAAGTGACTGTATTTAGATCATGCCAGACTAACCTCCTAACCTCATTTTCTTTGTTTGGGAAGGTTACTAGACTGGTATATGAGGTGAATACTGTAGATTCTGTTTAGCTAAATTCTATTAAAGAACTTGAAAAAGTCTCTAAGTCTAATCTTGTGAAACACATAGAAATATGTGGGCTACACAGTAATAAAATTGGATAGATTAAAAGTTGGTTCAATGGTCAGACCCGGAGTAGTCATTAAAAATTTCATGTTAAATTGGAAGGCTGTCTCTAGTGGACTGCCCAAGGGATTTGTGTTCCATAGTGTGCTGTTTAATAAGCTTATCATTGATTTGAATAATGACAAATATTTATCAAATATTCAAATGATATAAAACTAGAGAGGATAGTTAATACTGAATGACATAATAAGAATTCAAAAAGATCTTGACCAGTTAATAGAAGTTTGGACCAAATCAAATTAGATACAATTTAATAGAGCTGAATATGTCTTTGGTTAATTTGGGCTCAGAAGATTTACTTTATAAGTTCCTGGATCCGCATACCAATTGTGTATTGGGCATTATACCACACACAGGTCATACTGAACACATCTAAAATAGGAATTTGTTGTCTGTCCTCCCATCTAGTTTTCTTCCTAACTTCTCTATTTCTTTTGAAGGAACCATCCTTCCAGCTAGTCACCCAGCCTTTGTAGCCTGAGAGCTAGTCTTGACCCTTCACATCGAGGCACTTTCCTTAGCTGTCCCTCATATCTAGTATGTTCTCCTTCCTCATCTCTGCTTACTAGCTTTCCTGGGCACTTTCAAGTCTCAGCTGAAATCTCACCTTCTGAAGGAAAACTTTTTCAATCCCCTTAATACTAATGAGTTCCCTCTATTAATTATTTGCAATTTATCCTACATATAGTTCATTTGTACATCTTATCTTCCCCAATACACTATAAACTCCTTGAGAGGAGAGATCATGTTTTGCCTTTCATTGTATGTCCAGCTCATAGCATAGTGCTTGGCACAATGTAAGTGCTTAATTTGGAAACTGACTGACATCTAAATCCAATCAATTTGCTAGTCTTATTGAATCTATGGCTACAATATCCTTTCCATCCCTTTCCTTCTCTCTGCTCATATGGACAGTAATCTAGTTCAGACTGTTGTGGTCTAGGAGTGCTGGGAACCATGAAATGCAAGGATAGAGGGTGCAGGTCTGCCTTAAAAGAATTTGACTACTTCTGCCTTCTTTCAGTCCAAGTAGTGAGTTTATTATGACACTGGTTGGCGTGGGCAAGATTCCTAGTGAGTCTGTGCAATTTAATGGGAGCAAGATTGACACTTTTATTCAGAAAAACCTTGGGAAGATCTGGATGGGATTAAGGAATGGCAAGCAGCCTGGGATGGTCTGGAGGTAACAGAATGAAGGGTTGGGCTGGGTCAGGCCACAGTGAAAGAACAGTTGAAAGGATGTGGTTATAGCAAATAGAGACTTTTTGAATGCTGTGGATAAGTTCAATTACCTTGGTAATGTACTTTCCAGGGATTTACACATTGATATTTGTTAGTGTTTGGGAGGCTCCAAAGGAATGTGTGGAAGAGAAAAAGTATTAGACTGACTACCAAGCTGAAGGTCTACAGAGCCATGTGCTGACCTCAGTGTTGTATGCCTGTGAAACCTGGATTGCAGACCAGCGCCATGTCAGGAAACTGAATCACTTCCATTTGAATTGTCTTCAGAAGATTCTGAAGATCACCTGGCAGGATAAGATACAAGACACTGAGGTCCTTTCTTGAACCAAACTGCCAGGCATTCAAACTCTGCTTGAGAGAGCACAATGGGCTGGCCATATCATTTGAATGCAAAACATATGCTTGCCAAAAAGACTATTTTATGGAGAACTCACACAGGGCAAACATTCATATGGTAGTCAGAAGAAGCGATACAAGGACACTTTCAAGGTCTACTTTAAGAACTTTGGAATTGATTGTGTGACATAGGAGACATTGGCACAGGACTGCTCAGCATGGCATGCCCACATCAGAAAAGCTGCCGTTCTCTATGAACAAAGCAGAATTGAAATAGCTCAAGAGAAACACAAGATAATGCAAACTTAGAGAATCCACCTCAGAGGTTCACACAGACTATTTGTGCCTGACCTGTGGTAGAACA